TAGTGGTATAGTAGCTATTTATAGCAGAAATATAGTAGCTATTTATAGCAGTGGTATAGTAGCTATTTATAGTAGTGGTATAGTAGCTATTTATAGCAGTGGTATAGTATCTATTTATAGCAGAAATATAGTAGCTATTTATAGTCGTGGTATCGTAACTATTTATAGTAGTCGTATAGTAACTATTTATAGTAGTGGTATAGTATTTATTTTTAGTAGTGGTATAGTAACTATTTATAGTAGTGGTATAGTATAGCTATTTATAGCAATGGTATAGTAGCTATTTATAGCAGTGGTATAGTATCTATTTATAGCAGAAATATAGTAGCTATTTATAACAGTGGTATAGTAGCTATTTATAGTAGTGGTATAGTAGCTATTTATAGCAGAAATATAGTAGCTATTTATAGTAGTGGTATAGTATCTATTTATAGCAGTGGTATAGAAGCTATTTATAGTAGTGGTGTAGTGGCTATTTATAGCAGTGGTATAGTAGCTATTTATAGCAGTGGTATAGTAGCTGTTTATAGCAGAAGTATGGTAGCTATTTATAGCAGTGGTATAGTAGCTATTTATAGCAGAAGTATAGTAGCTATTTATAGTAGTGGTATAGTAGCTGTTTATAGCAGTGGTATAGTAACTATTATAGTAGTGGTATAGTAACTATTTATAGCAGTGGTATAGTAGCTATTTATAGTAGTGGTATAGTAGCTATTTATAGTAGTGGTATAGTAACTATTTATATTAGTGGTATTGTAACTATTTATAGTAGTGGTATAGTAACTATTTATAGTAGTGGTACCGTAACTATTTATAGTAGTGGTATAGTAACTATTTATAGTAGTGGTATAGTAACTATTTATAGTAGTGCTATAGTAACTATTTATAGCAGTGGTATAGTAACTATTTATAGTAGTGCTATAGTAACCATTTATAGCAGTGGTATAGTCACGATCAATAGCAGTGATATAGTATTATCAGTAGCAGTGAGTACGGTAGGCGTGGGGATGCATGTCATCATTACACATCCACACGCCCTACAGTCCCCACCGAGAATAGTCTCGACATAATGGCCCAATCCTATACTATACTATTCTATACTATACTACACTACACTCTTCAGTGTCCGGCTTATCTATCACCCAGCTACTTAGCCCACACCTCTCCTCTGATAGACACCTTATCCCACTACCGACTTCACTAGTCAACTTGCACCCACACGGGAAAGATGCTGTACTAATATACCTACCCCTCCTGCAGCACCTGGACGTCACCATGCACTGTCGCTTGGGCGAAGGATATGACCACGCCAAATGGTCGCCCGTGGGCACAGCCTCGTACCGATTACTGCCAGAGATCATCCTCAAGGAAGAGATTCGCGGAGAGGCCGCGGAGAGGTTACAGAAGTGCTTTAGCAAGGGCGTCATCGAGCTGGTCGATACAAAGAGTATGACTGTGATTATGTTTATCTTGTGGTGATACATCGAATATGCTTCAACATTCGACTGGTATACTAATCTTGTGACGGCATCTTAGATATTCTGGCTAGAATATCAATAAGTATTTGTCGTACTCAGGTGAATGTCACCCGAGCTATCAGTGCCTGTGTACACTTACGCTCACACAAGTGCCTACGTCGATCATTATCGTAGCGAGTGACTACTATACGTTGTATGAAAAACGCATCGCGCAACACACGAGACATGCGTATAACCGGGATTGATTCTTGAAGTATCTTGGATGAGATTGTACGGTTATAATATGTGCCACACGAGACATACAACCGGGATTGATTCTTGAAGCTTGATTGGGATTGTACGGTTATAATATATGCCACACAAGACATACAACCGGGATTGATTGTTGTGGAGATAAGTATCTTGATTTGGATTATACGGTTATAATACATACGCACGCCGGTGTGAACGCAATCACGTATGGCTGGATGGTCTCACGGCCTCGATCCATAGTAGTAGATTACATCGCACCTCTGACTCATCCCACCTATCGACCGTGTTACTGTACAGAGGGCAAGGTGGCTAAGGTGGCCAATCCGCGATTGGAGACTATGTCACGTGAGGTGTTCAGGCATGCCGACCTGGCCCAAAAAGTGGACCTGAACAGAGTGCGAAATCACTTCATATGTAAGTCTTACCCTCGATGTGTGAGATGGGACCATTATGTTCGTTGCCGCTTTATGAGTGAGGTGTTGTTGTCATATGTAGTTGTCGCTTTATATGTTTGGAGATCAGTTGTGTACACATGTGCGTAGTTATATGTACGTCTGATGATATAAATATATGTATGTTTAGTTTTCATCATTATGTATATGTTTGGTGATGTTAATTTATGTATGCATGATGAAATTTTTAAATGTACGTTGATAATATTTTTCTCTGTATGTTTGATGATTTTATTTTATTTTATTTTGATATATTCATGTGTATGCTCGATGATATAGTCATATGTGCTTCTGGTGATTCACGAATGCTCGCACAGATGAGCGAAGATCAAGGCCATTCCGATCATTCCTATACACATTTATTTCTACGGTATAGACATACGCTCTCGTCAAGGGCATCTAGTACAATAAACACGTACCGAATGCACAACACATACACGCATTCATTCTTTTCGCGTTACCATGACACTTCAGAAGGAATTATCACTATATCCCAACAATACTATATTTAATCGGGCCTTGTTTAGGTAGGACGCATGTGTGCATAAATATGTAAAGTTGATACAATAGTTCTGCTTCTGATTTTGGCTTCGTTTTGCACCGGTTGCAGTTTCTGTTGAATCTATCGGCGCAGTCCCACCGGAAACAATCTTCATGGAATCGGTGAAGCTATTAGAGAAGAAGTGCGAAGGCCTGTTGGAGGAACTAGACAAGCTAGTCGAGGCCTGAGGTCATTGATCAACCGACTATAATAAAAACATTGCAATATGATGAGCGACGCACTGAGCACTGAACGCCAATTACGAGTGCTGTGTATCCAGCGATTATTACGTTGTCTGATATGACAGTACCTACATTTATAATACCAATGTTGCGAAAGGTTAGCTGGGAATGTTAGTACCAGTTGTATCACCGGAATGGTCGCGTCTTTTGCAAATTTTAGGAGAGAGTCATAATTCATAGGACTATGAAATGATACTCATGGACTTTGTATTTTTTACGTGCTTTGTGGCAATAGGTGTATATGGATGTACGAGGCGTATTTATATACATACATACATATATATGGGCATATATATATGTGTGTGTGTGTGTGTGTGTGTGTGTGTGTGTGTATATGTGCGTATGTATGTATGTATGTGTGTATGTATGTATATATATATATNTATATATATATATATATATATATANATATATATATATATATATATATATATATATATATATANATA